TCCCTCCCCCCCTTCACCTAAATGACACTGCGATCCCCCTCTCCCCCTTCACACCTAAATGACAACCTGCTGACTAAATTGACCCTGCTCCCCCCTCCCCCCCTTCACCTAAATGACACCTGCGACCCCCCTCCCTCCCCCCTTCACCTAAATGACACCTGCGACCCCCCTCCCTCCCTCCCCCCCTTCACCTAAATGACACCTGCGACCCCCCTCCTCCCCCCTTCACCTAATGACACCTGCGACCCCCTCCTCCCCCCTTCACCTAAAATGACACCTGCTCCCCCCCTCACCCTCCCCCTTCAACCTAAGTTGACACCTGCGACCCCCCCTCCTCCCCCCTTCACCTAAAATGACACCTGCGAACCCCCCTCCCTCCCCCCCTTCACCTAAATGACACCTGCGACCTGCCCCCCTTCACTAAGTGACATCTGCGACCCCCCCTCCCCCCCTTCACCTAGTGACACCAGCGACCCCCCTCCCCCCCCTTCACCTAAATGACACCTGCTCCCCCCCTCCTTCCCCCTTCAAACTAAATGACACCTGCCCCCCCTCCCTCCCCCCCTTCAACTAAATGACACCTGCTCCCCCCCTCCCTCCCCCCTTCACCTAAATGACACCTGCGACCCCTCCTTCACCTAAATGACACCTGCGACCCCCCTCCCCTCCCCCTTAACCTAAGTGACACCTGCGACCCCCTTCCAGCCCCCTAAATGACACCTGCTCCCCCCCTCCCCCTCCCCCCCTTCAACCTAAAGTGACCACCTGCGACCCCCCCTCCCTCCCCCCTTCACATAATGACACCTGCGACCCCCCCCCTCCCCCCCCTTCACCTAAATGACACCACTCGCTCACCTAAAATGCACCTGCGACCCCCCCTCCCTCCCCCCTTCACCTAAATGACACCTGCCCCCTCCCTCCCCCCTTCACACCTAAATGACACCTGCGACCCCCCTCCCTCCCCTCAACGACACCTGCGACCCCCCCTCCCTCCCCTCCTTCACCTAAATGACACCTGCGACCCCCCTCCCTCCCCCCCTTCACCTAAATGACACCTGCGACCCCCTCCCTCCCTTCACCTAAATGAACCTGCGACCCCCCCTCCCTCCCCCTTCACCTAAATGACACCTGCGACCCCCCCTCCCCTCCCCCCTTCACCCTAAATGACACCTGCGACCCCCCCTCCCTCCCCCCCTTCACCTAAATGACACCTGCGACCCCCCTCCCTCCCCCCTTCCCCACCTGCGACCCCCCCTCCCCTCCCCCTTCAAATGAACACCTGACCCCCTCCTCCCCCTTCACCTAAATGACACCTGCGACCCCCTCCTCCCCCCCTTCACCTAATGACACCTGCGACCCCCCTCCCTCCCCCCCTTCACCTAAATGACACCCTGCCCCCCTCCCTCCCCCCCACTTCACCTGACACCCTGCCTCCCCCCTTCACCTAAATGACACCTGCGACCCCCCTCCTCCCCCCTTCACCTAAATGACCTGCGACCCCCCTCCCTCCCCCCTTCACCTAAATGACACCTGCGACCCCCCTCCCTCCCCTTCCCTAATGACACCTGCGAACCCCCCTCCCCCCCCTTCACCTAAATGACACCTGCGACCCCCTCCCTCCCCCCCCCCTTACCGGCCCCCACGACCGCCTAAGCCTACAGGTTCATCAGGGAGAGGAAATGGTTCGTGGGAATTTCTCGAGGTGGTGGGGAGTGTGGCGCGAATGGTGGTGGCGATGGTGGAGGTGTGGGTGGTGGTGAGTGCAGGTTGATGTCATGGGTGGTGGTGGTAGTGGTGGTGGTAGGGATGGTGGTGTGGTGGTGGTGATGGTGAGTGCAGGCCTGATGTGATGTAAGATTGTGGTATTGATTGTGTGGTGATGGGATAGGATTGTGATGTGGTGTGGTGATGGTGATGTAGGATTATGGGTGATGTGAATGGGATTCTGATGTGATGTTGCTTGTGATGTCGTCTGATTTGTGTTAGTGGTGAGTAGACTGATGTAAGTGAGTGGTGATGTAAAGGTGTAATAATAGATAGTGTTAGCGGTGTATGATGCTTGTGTGGCGGTGATGGTGGTGCGTGATGGTGACGGTGTGAATATCATATCGTAATTTGATGTGGTGCTTTTTATAGTGAGATGACAGTGTTGCGTGGTGATGTAGTGGCACTGTGTGGTGGGGCCGGGGATGACGCTATGTCACAATACCCATGGTGATAGTGCTGTTTTATGGTGATTTAAGGTTTATGTATGGTGAGCGAGGGAGGGAAGAGGAGGAAAAGGGAGAGAGAGAAAATAGAGGGTTTGTGATTTACTTTCCTGGCGGTGCAAACCAGAGAGGGATTTATACACCGCTCTGTGACCCTCCTCTGCCCACGGCCGGAAACTGGGGAGGAATTGTGGTGGTGGTGGGGGGGGGGGATCGGGAATGAATTGGGAATGGATTGGGAATGGATTGGCCTTCGTTTTGGTTTTCATATCGGCGGGGGGTTTTCTTTCGTAGTGGCCTTGGTATCTTTAATATTTACTTGTTATAAATATTCTTTTTTATTTCTTTTCGTTGTTATTCCTATTCTATTCCCTCTCTCTCTTCTCTCTCTCTCTCTCTCTCCTCTCTCTCTCTCTCTCTCTCTCTCTCTCTCTCTCCTC